ACTTATTGATAGCTTCGTCATAGTACGCAATATCCATATCATCTCTTTCCCATGTTGCTTGCTCGTAGGCAAGTTCCTTCCATTTTACAAGATAATCGAACTGAGTTTTTCCATACTGCATATGATTTATGATGCGATGAACCTGTAACATGGATGAGTACAACAGTTATAGTATAGGTTTCAATCAACAAGCAGACCTGCATCCATTCTGGTTTAATACCATATTGGTAGAACTTTTCACGAAGTTCGTAAGGATCACTATCCTTGTGATGTCGCTGAGAAGTCGACTCGTCAAAGATTGGCGGATTTTCAGAGTCGTATTTACGCCAATACATCCGCACCAACTAAATACGACCGATTATATCAAAATTTGAAAGTTTGCTTTTTTCCCCGTGGAAAGTTTGATCATAAAGCTCTACCATACTAACTGCTTCCCGCAAACTATTAGTAATGATGATCAACTGAGACACAATTACTGACCGCAGTGAAGTAGACGTCCATGAGAGTCTCGCTGACCCATTCGCAATGCCAGTACGACATATACCTCCATTTCACGAAGAACTCCCTTTCTCGACGAGGTTCCATTTTACGCGGTGGATAAAGCATTGCAGCTTCCTGTACTTACAAAGACTACAAGAAGAACCAACATTAAGTAAACTAAACCTTACTTTATCTGGTTCTTCGCCCGGCTTCAATTCGAGTGGATCAGGATAAGGAATTTCGATCCATCTCCAGCAAAGAATTTTCTCTGGACGTTGTTTCGGCTCAGGAATGGTACACCTGGGACATAACCACTCTTCTTCAGGTAGCTGTTTCAATGGTGGATTCAGACAGTATGCATGGAACGAACTAGGGCAATTATCGCAACATAGTAGGGATCCAGTGCCCTGGAAGAAAAGAACTTGCGGAAGCACTTTGAATGTAAAACTAAAACGCTACTAACCTTGCATATTCGGCAATATTCCATGTTGACTTTGACCGGTTCCTCTTCCCGAGGTGGAGGTCCATGCTCTTCGCAATGAGGACAACTCCATTCTCCCTCCGGTGCATGCTCCATTTCAGAATCAACGCA